GACAGTTGCACCCAGGATCTGCTGGTCTTTCAATGCTGTGCCCTTCTATGAATCAAGCTAATAACAATCAGATGCAGCGCACACCTATGGGGGCGATGGGTCCACCAAAGTTGATGCCAGGGATGAATCCATACATGAACCCGCAGCAGCTTCAACAACAGCAACAGCAGCAGCAGCAGCAACAGCAACAGCAGCAAAACCATCAATTACAGCAGCAGCAGGAATCGACATCTCCTCTGCAGACTGTTCTTTCACCTCCACAGGTAGGTTCGTCATCAAGCATGGGAATTCCCCATCAAATGAATCAGCTGCAGCAACAGGCCGGCCCCCAACAAATGAGCCAGAGAACTCCAATGAGCCCACAACTTAGTTCGGGGGCCATACATCCAACGAGTGCAGGTAACGTGGAAGCTTGTCCAGCAAGTCCTCAGTTGAGCTCACACACCATGGGTTCAGTTGGTAGTATCACCAATTCTTCCATGGAGTTGCACGGTGTCAATAAAAATAACTCCTTTGGTAATGCATAGTTATTATGAACATCTTGATCTTCAATTTTGCTGTTGCCATATTTCATCTCTCGTCCAGCTTACCCCTCTGGTGATTTCGTCTGGCAGTTGGATGGAGTTTAGATCAACAAGGTAACTGATATATACTGGAAATAAAGTATTTGGACGGAGGTCTCAGAGAATGAACGAAATGGATTTATTTCCTTGCACACACTGGTTGCCAAATAATTCAAACATGAAAGTCTGTTCTTGGTGTAAGTACACAATATTTTTCTTTTAACATAAGGCTGGTGGGTGATATGCCCGTGTTTAGAGTATTGTTTTAGTGCAAAGACAGCCATCTTTTCATGTTTGTATTGGGATGTATAATTACTGCTATCTGAACTTGCTTGTTTATGAATGTTCAATTAGTTTTCCAATACTTTGAATTCCTGCCACACCTACTGCCACTGCTTTTGTTACTGCACATTAGCTAGACAAGTTTTGAATTCAGTGGCAAGAATTTAGATGAAAATTCGATAAGAATGACAAGTTGGACTAAAAAGGCCAACTGCTTTTCTAGTTCAAAAACACATTTACATACAATATGAAACTTGTTTGTCAGGTAACAAGTCCAGCTTTATTCACCCAATGTTTCCTATCTGCAGAGTTATCATATTCATAAAAATTGAAGGTGCTTCTTCATAGCCCTACCATCTTCACGAGTAAGAATTCCCTTAAATCAGAATGGGTAAACTTGTAATGGATTTCAACCATCCTATGCAAAAATATTATGATGTGATTTTGTTCAATTCTACAGTCATCTTGATAAAATAGAACAAGAACATGAACATGATATGAGACATGAATTTTTTTGGGTAATTTGATTTCTTTTCGGTTTAACCGTGAACCGAAAAATCGAACACAATTTTTTCTAGGTAATTTGATTTTTTTTCCACAAACTTTTAGCCATCTTAATGAGTCACCCATTGCAATTAAAGGCGGAGTAACTTTTTTATAAAAGTAATTCTCCCTTGCCTTTTTTTTAAAGGAGATCATTCTTTCAATGTTTTAGCAATTTTTCAATGTGGGATATTAGCTCATTTTTAAAGGAGATTATTCTTCCAATGTTGTGGTAATCTTCCAATGTGAGATACTTGACAATTGTCAATTCTAAGTGTTTCCTAGTTTACTTCATCATTTTCATTAACAAATCACAAATTCCAACAAGATTATAATTTTCAATTTGAACAAAGCAAATTATTTTGGACATATTAATTGTTAGTTTTCAAGGTTATAAAATAATTATAATAAATCTATTTAACAAATATTGATTATATTTATTTTGAATGAAAAAACTAAAATTTAAAAATCTATTATAATTATGATATTTTATAGTTTATTTGTGTATTTATTTGTTTAATTTGTCATCTGGTTTGACCCTTTAAATCTCAACCTTCTTCCGGGTTGATGTTCAGGTCGATTTTTAAAATATTGATAAATTATTATAGAAATTTTTGAAATGTATAGTTGAAAAATTGTGGGATCCATGTGATTAATATTGATTGTTTGACTTTAATTTAAATTAAAGTCAAAGATACATGTGGCTATGAAATAGGGTTGTCCTCTCGAAGTAAGTAGTTTGGCCATTTAATCCAAGAAGTGTGGGCCTTTTGATGGACCGGCCTTTCTATTTTTATCTCTGTGGGCCGTTGTTAGAGGTGAATTTCAGATCCACTAAGTATGGAGATCAACTTCATCATTTTCTTTCAAATTTTTATTAATTCAAAATTTTGGTGATGTCCATGAAAGTCTTTGCTTCGCTTTCCTCAACTAAAATTTAAGCATGCATTTTAGTTCTCGATCTTTAAAAAATGCAAAAAATATTTTTCTCTCATTTTTAAGCGGTAAGCAAAATATTTTTGACATGAACCATCTTTAATTATTAGGTGTGTAGATTAATTAACTGTTGAAGAAAATAATTTAACCAAAAAAGTTAGGGACTTAATTATTATAATAAATATATGTTGAGGACCTTAGGTGAATTTAAAACGTTATGCAACAAATAAAATTTATCGTGTGATTATAATCAATCTCCATTTAATATTTTCTCTCCAACTTCAAGGAAAAAAATCCATATAAAAACACACACACACACAATGTAATTATACTCTATACACATAATTCCCCCATCTTACAATCAGTGACGGATGTAGGCTTCGCCGGAACCGCCACCGCCGGGAGTCAGTTTTTTTTTTTTTTTTTTTTTTTTTTTTTTTTTTTTTTTTTTTTTTTTTTTTTCAGATTGGTCTGTCGTTCAGTCTTGGTGGCTTGGGTGTTGGCTATTAGGCCTCTAATTTTTTTATTTTTTAAAAATCAGACCCAATTAAAGAAGCCCAAATGACCTTCTCCATACCATATACCCAGCAACCCGAAAACAGAGTCCCAGATTTTTCCCCAAATTGCCACCACCCACGAATCTTCTCTACGGCTCTACCCGTCTACCACCACTAGCGCAGCAGCCAGCAGACGTTGCAGACGGCACCGTCAGGTCCGCCATCGATCAGAGACGAGAGCAGCAAGCGAGCAGCACTCCAGACTCCAGTCCAGCAGGCAGCCCGCAACAATAATGCAAGATTCTTTTAGTTATTTCCCATTTTTATTATCGTTTCTAAATAAATAAATTGTGCTATCTGCAACTTTCCATCCCTTTTCGTTTATCCTCTGAGATTTTAGTGTTACACTTTATTGTTTGTTTTCTTGATGACTGCATTTTGAGTGACTATTGAAGGTTTACACTTTTTTGTATTTTCAAAATTTATCTCATAACTGATATGAATTATGTCGAGGAAAGTGTATGCTATATTTGTTTATGTGTAACGTTGGGCTCTTTTCTGTGCTTATAGGCCATAGCTACTGGGTTTAGAAAAATAAGCTATGGTGGCTGGAGGTTAACATTTCACCTTTGTTTTGATTTTGTTCTTTGCTTCTAATAAAACTTCCCTCCCGCCCAGAAATTCAACGTATAGACAACAGAGACTTCATTAACCTTATTTTATCAGATATTCACGCATAGTACTTAGTTTCGTTTTCTGATTTGCTAGATGAAAAATATTGTAAGCTTCTGAAGATCTAATGAAATTGGTGATCTACCTAGATGATTGTGAGAACTAAGTATTGGAGCAGTACATATATTGAATAATTTTTAATATTATTTAATCTAATTTTAATAAATGATCGGCCGCCGATCGGACCGGACTTTTACGATCGTTGATCGTCGATGGTCAATGGTCAAAATCAACCTCCGCCCTAGCTGAACGTTGATACTGGATTCACCACTGCTTACAATTGAATTTATATACCACATTTTCTATTGTTAATAAATAACATATTTCCTTAAATTATAAAAGTTAACAAATAACATATCTTGCCCAGTTCGTGTTAAAGAAGGGGAAAAAAATAGGACTATTTTTAAAAAATGTAACTCGGAAGACAAAGAAGCATACAGAATTTTTATTTTATTTTATTAAGTTCCCTTATTTATAATTCTATTTTAAATTACTCTTCTAATATTTCTAACATTTATTCATATCTACTATTATCCATATCATTCATTAATGTATCTGTGACATGTTATAAGCATTCGCGCATGCTAAAAATAATTGACGATAAATAGAGTATATGAACAAAATTTAAATTTCACGGTACTTACAAAATATTAAAATTGAAGTTGTTGGGAATCACAGAAATTGACAATTAGACCACCTCTATTTATTATAAAATTCAAGGACTACTTTCTTCGCATATAATAGATAAGCTTCTTTGTATGATCTTATACGATTTTATGCCATTCTATACGAGTTTAATCAATCTTTAAAAATTGCTCAATTTAGAGGAAATGGGTCAAAATAATCACATCAATTAACCCTAAAAGGAAAAAGGCTCACATGTAATGTTCATCTGATGTCTTTGAATGATTACAGGGGACATGATAGTGCATTTAACAAGTTGTGAACATGGAAAATTTATTTGCATAATGAAGTATTATTTAGGTCCAAATGTTAAGTGTGACGAATCAAACGAGTTCTACATTAGAAATTTGTAACGTGCACATTATTCAAACCAATTTTAGGAAGGCATGTTAGGGTGACAAGAAAGTAACATCAGGAAAACAAACGGAAAAAATGTTTATTTTGAAATTTCCACGAACTACATGAATATTAACAATGATGAATTTAGTATAATATTTTAAATACTTGAGTACTGAAATTTCTATCCTACAACATAAGAAACTAGTGTAGTATTTAATCACGTAACTAATATTAAGAGAACAATTTCTTTTTTCACAAAAAATAAAAATAAATGACAATAATGGCTTGGAAGTTGCTATACATTGATGGGATGAATACCAATATTATGATACACACAAGAAATATTAATAAAATCGGATCTTAAAATTTAACTAACGATATAATTTATAGATTCATCACAAAAGACTCAAATTCATAAGAAAAATTGTCAATGCGAACATTTCAAAGAAGTCATTTTTAACGGGAAAACATACTCATGGCCAAAATGTGGATTGGTTAAAGGCCTATACCCTACATGATTGCAAAATAGTCTTTTAGCTTAATGATTTAGCTATCTCAATTATCCATATTGACCATTGATTAAGTGGAGTGTCAAATCATGAATGGATTGAAGTAACATTCAAAATTTGTCTCCAATTTTTTATTTTCTCATGTAAGGAGAATGCTCTTTGCTACAGGGGATTTAACGACCCCTCACTGAAGGGGTCGGTCCCACATGGAAAAAAAAAAAAATTTGTGTCGGGTTCCATGCTTAGTGTTGTCTGGCAGTACGCCTAGCACGGTTCTCTCATGTAATTTTCTCACATTTGTTTCGATAATAAAATTATTCCACTATTTCGTGCGATGAAATAATGGAAAAGGAAAAAATTATCATACAACAAATAAAAAATAAAATTTTTGGATGTAGGTGTGCTTTAAGTTACTTGATTTTGTTCATGGAGCCTCGACCCAAACCTCAAAAGCATATAAGAAAGTCACACAACACAAGAAATTATGAAGTATTTGGGCTGAACTCTTATCAAGACAAATCCTTGTGAGGTTGTATAGAATTGTTTGTGACAGCTTTTTCCCCATTAGTTATCATCGTGGTTAATTAGAAAAAAAATCATTTTTTATTGAATGTTAAATAGAAAAATTCAGTACAATAGTAAATAAGCTATTATAATTGACACATGAATTGCATTCTTTTTCTTTAGTCGATCGATTTTTTATCCTTACTCAAGCACTTTGGGATCTGGATTGTAAACGTGTGAACTCTTTTTTATACTTGAAAACTTAGTTTTTGTACTGATATCAGACACAATATTAAATACTTGAGCCTACTTAGATTTAGTCCATGGGAAGATTGCGATGCAAGACAAGACATAAAGATACAGGAGCTTGATTTGAATTCCATATGTTTATTATGCCATTATATGTTGATCAAATTTACATATGGATAAGAGTCTAGGGACTAAATAGCAAATTGGATTATATTTGGCATCTCCGTAACCAATTTAAATTAGACAGATAGAAATGAGTGATAATAAATCGATTTTCATGTTATATGTACTCATAAAAAGTAGATTTGAGTAAAGTGTGTAAAATATACACGCATGCCAAATATGTGAAAACAATCTCAATTTCTTGATTCAAATTCGTAATGAATTAAAGATTCTTTTATGTTTTAGTTTTTTGGCATTATTATGAATAAATGCGTGTTTGTTTGTCGTTTTACACTTCCGCGATGCATCAAATTGGTTACAAGATTTTTCTGAGGTATTAAAGAATCGAATCAAACTAGATCTAATGATTTTTTGTTTCAATTCGAAAATCCAGATATCTAGTTGAACAAAACTATACTTATCTATTCAAATCTATCTCATTATTTTTAACATTCTTAAAAAATTTGGCAAAAATGATATAGAGTTGAATTATATTCTCATCAGAAGGGTACTGCTATTTTCATCCACATTTTTTATAAGTACATCCCACTCTAAATTCATCCCTAATAAAATTTTAAAAAATACTATTTACATCCACGTCATGTTCCAATCTTATCCTTATTGAATTCATTAATTTAAATATTATATATCCACATAAATTTTATATATGCATCACGCTTTAGATATATCCCTATCACTCTAGATTCGCCCAATCCCTAAAACTATAAACTCTTAAACCAAATGAATGAAATAAGAATAAATCTGAACTGATTGAACATTAAATTAACATGAAATAAGTTTTTTGTCTATTAAAGTTCTAAATATTAGAATGCTTCAAACAACAAAGGCTAAAGAAAGAAAGAAGAAGAAAGTTCGATTAAGCAAGCTGAATTTTATTAACTTTGTTGGCTACAATTATTCTTCTTTCTTTATAAACTGATAAAACTACATCAGATTCCATTTTGTATTCTTCGAAATTTGATATGATTCCCAACATAAAAATCACATTTAAGGCCACCATCACCTATAATTATATTCATGTATTTTTCTCTATCTATTAGGATTCTAATTAAATATAAATGAAAACAAATATTGGAGGATCAATTTAGAGTTATGTATTTTTATTTAATTATGTTTATGTCTATTTAAGTAAATTTATATAGGATTTAAAATATAACAAAATTTAATTTTTAAAAGTGGATGTATACATAAAAAGTGTGGATGAAAATAATGGTACCCCATTAGAATGGGACTGATATAAAACATTATGCGATAGCAAGCTAAATCATATCTCACTATCTTGATATTCTTGAAAATTATGGTAAAATTGGATATTCCAGGTCACACTAAGGTCAAAGTTGCCATTTGAACTGTTGAGGGCTTGAAGCGGTAGAAAACAACTGATGCAAGAGCAGAAACGAGGAAGGTGAAGTCTGTGTGTTCAGTTTCACACTTTTTCCCTTTCCTTTTCTCAGTTACTCTTAATTTTCACAAATATCTATAATATTCTGCACCTTTTCTTCAACAAAATTTCCCAGCAAACATATTAAACAAATCCCAAATCCAAAACTCTAATCCTCCATATCTCCATTTCTTCAAATTCTCTTCTCATTCATCAGTTTAGGTATGCCCCTTCTCTCTCTCTCTCTCTCTCTCACAGCCACACACACACACACACACAGACACAGAAATATCAAATTTTTTTTCTTCTTGACTTTAAGGCCTGGATTTTGTTATATCCGTTTGATTTGCTCTTTGTCAAAATGAAAATGTGGGTTCTTTCACTTGCTTGGTTTGTCCACATGGGTCTTGATTACCTGGATTCTTGATTCCAAGATATGGCAGCTTCCCATTTTTGATAAATTTGGTTCTGGGTCGTAATTTCTGTGATTCTCCGCATAAATGTCTATTTGGGTTATTTGATTTCCCCTCGGGATTTATGAGTTATTGGGTATGTTTTGGTTTCGATGCTTTTATTGGATCTGTAAAGTTCTGGCTCCTCTATAGTTCTTCATAATGTGAGGTTTGAAAATTCTTGTCTATGATGGTTTACGTGTGTTTTGGTGATATTGGCTCTGCAAAGTCCTTTACTTTTTCCCCTTTTTTTTTTAATATAAAATTTTTCTGGGTTTTTTCATTGATCTATATTCATGATTGGGTTTGATTGACTCGTTTCCAGATCTATTCTATCTTTCTCACAAGTTGTGAAGTTCATTCAGGCATTAAATTGTATATTGGGTGGCACGGGAATGATGCTTTGTTCATTGGTTCTGTTCTTGTTTTCATTTGTTGCATTTTGGATTATGTGAGCGTTTTCTTTCAATTTTTCTCTTTACTGGTTTTGTATAATTGATAAATCTAGGATATATGTAAATATAGAATTTTCTTTCCGCAGCTTTGATTGATTTGAGGAATATCTAGAAGTTTATATACATTTTAGGAATCTATACTGCTAACTAAATCCAGTCCTTTTTTGTTTCATATTTTTAGGTATAATCATTCATTGGAAGTTCTGTTAGGCTGAGCTTCGTGACCGTGATCAAGTTTTGATTGCTCAAATATTTTGAAAGTTGAAGGATATCTGTTCTCTACGTTTTTTTTATTGTCTTTTGTGAGGATTGAATTAGCAATATGGGTTCGCGATTCCAATCTCATCAGCTGAGTAATGGCCTTTATGTCTCAGGCCGGCCTGAGCAGCCAAAAGAGAAGACTCCCACAATGAGCTCTGTTGCCATGCCATACACTGGTGGCGACATCAAAAAGTCTGGAGAACTCGGTAAAATGTTTGATATCCCAATGGATGGCTCCAGGTCAAGAAAATCAGGTCCCATTAATAATACTCCTTCAAGAACAGGGTCTTTTGGTGGCTCTGCTTCTCGCTCGGGCCAACTAAATTCTTTGAATCGGGCGGGGTCTGGTTCTTCTGGTGGTGTTTCTGGATTTGCATCTTTAAAGAAGACGAATTCTGGTCCACTTAATAAGCATGGAGAGCCACTGAAAAAGTCATCTGGGCCTCAAGGTGGAGGAGCAACAGCCATGTACCGCCAAAATTTTGGCCCTTTTCTGATAGATTTTAATCCAGTTTTCACATAATTGATCCATGTTGAAATCAAAGAGAACATAATGAAAGCGGAAGCGTACCTTGATCCATAGATTAATAGTGATTTTGAACAGGTTACAATCTTTCAATTGATCCGTGATTTCCCTTACAATTCTTGAAAAACTCTCTGTTGATGGGGATGCAGAGATTATGGAATATCACATCAATTGGGGACTATGACCCCATATAGAAATAACTATATTTGGAAGTTGTAATCTTTTGATTATTTTAAATCGACCCCTCATCAATTTAAAATATTCATTCCGGCCTCTACACTTTAATTTCATAATAATTGATACCCATTAGTCCAAAATTAAATTCGTTGGATCACTTTAATGGACTAAAACTATAAGATAGCAACGCACACTTTAATCATTGTGTGGCCCCAATTAATGAAATTTTTTCAACAATCTCCCACTGGGTCATACATGTAATCTTTTAAATGCGCACAACCTTATGAGCTCAAAATTTTGCTATCATTGATAAGGGTATTTCCAAACAATCTCATCCATTAGTTATATTAATGTAGGATCAAAGCGATTTTCGT